CTCCTCTCCCCCACCCCACCACTTCCCTTCTGCTCCTCAGAGAGGATAAGGCCTCCCCTAGGAAGTCTACTTGGTATTGTTCTTAATAGCTGGTCTATTGCTTTGCTCTGTACATGTACATACTCATTATCAGAGCTATATAATGGGGTTGCCTTCAAGAAGGTCTACAGGCACCCTGCTTCAACTTCCCATGTGCTGGAGTTGTAAAAGTATGCCATAGCATACAGCTCTGAGTATTTTTTGTATCCATTTGAATAGAATAGCTTTCTTAGCTTCCTTTTCAAATAGTTTGTTCCTAGAGTGTAAAAATGCTAACTTTTAAATGTTGATTTTTACATCCCAAAGTTTTACTGGTTCCTTATTAATTTTAATAGAATCTTTTGTGCATGATTTAGCGTTTTTCTATGTGAAGACCATGCCATCAATGAACAGGGACAATCTGGCCTCTCCCTTTCTAACCTGGACACTCACTATTTCTTTCTATTGGCTGTGAGGTCTGACCAGGGTGTCTAGTATTACATGGTAATCTATCTTCAAAAATATTTACATTACATAACAGCAGTGAAATTACAGTTATGAAATAGTGATGAAAATCATTTTACAGTGGGGGGTCACCACAACATGAGGAACTGTATTAAAGGGTCGCAGCATGAGGAAGGCTGAGAACCATGGCTTTAGGCACACCTGTAAGGGCATTTCCATAAGTGCTAACAGACATTCACTCAACTAGGGCAGTACCTTCTGGCAGGGGTCAAAATTATGTCATGGTTTTTGTTTTGTTGTTTTGGCAGAGCTAGGCATTAGAATATGTGCAGTCCACCACTGAAATGTATGCCCGATCTACTTTTATTTTTCCAGATTGTCTTGTGTTCCATTACTCAAAAGCAGTGCTTACCAAGAAAACACAGATCAGGGAAGGGGGAAACTTAGATTTTAAGTAACAGAATCGTCTACAGGGCACATCTGACTGTCTGGCAGTGTATATAAGACAGACGAGGGAGCAACTGGAACCCCACTGCCCCAATGGTTCAGCAGGATGGCTCAGTGGGGAAAGGCGCTTGCTGCCAAGTCTGAGAAACTGAGTTAGATCCTTAGAATCTACATGGCAAAAGAGAGGACAGTTCATTCACTGACCTCCACACATGTGCTATGGCATGCAAATATCTTCATATGTACACACACCAATAAAACAAATACATTTTTAAAATTAAATGTGTTTTCAAACACAAACAACATCTGTGTGCATCTCCAGTAATATATTTACTGATTATGATGTTCTATTTAACCAAAAATAAACCTATACACTCAAAATCATCATTTACAGGTTTTAAAGAAAAAAAGACAGATTTCTTCACAGTGGAAATTACCATAATGTATCTTAAAATATGTAAACATGCCCTAGGTGTATCAGAGTGGTATTTGTGAAATATCACACATGTTCCAAGTTTATCTTCATGGTTATGCTTTTGTATCTTTGTACAGCCTTTATGTACATGGTTATGAACAGCTTTAAAAGTGTCTGAACACATACATACAGACATAGGAAGTCAGGGCTTTTCTCTGAGCAAGCATGATTCCCTGTTGGATGACTAAGACACTGATGATTTTAATTCTTTTTTTTTCAGAAATAAAACATGCATCTTTTGGTACTAGCAAAAAAAAAGCAAGTGTGCTTTTGAAAAACCATTGTGATGGCCTAGAAAATAAATAATTACCATATTTAAAATCATAGAGATTTTATTTACTAAAATTTGCGTTTGAGCAGTAGAGAGGAATATTCTCAACCGCCTCTGTGCTCACTCCTGACCTCTCTTCAGATCAACTCTGTTCTAATACAACCTAGAGAACACTGGCCTTCTACACGCTGACACAACAGGTCAGCTGAGGTTAGTGTGAGGAAAGTGCACCTCTAGACAAACTCCACAGTCTTCAGAAGAAAGCAGACCTCCCGTGGAGACAGAGTGGATTAGATGCAAAAGTGCCTGCATATGTGTGGAAATGTCAATAAAACTTAGGCATGACTGCTTTCTCTCTTACAGATTAGATAATAAACCACTTCCTGGGGCTGAAGCCCTGTGCTTAGTGAGATGATCTTCTGAAGATCCAAAGGACCAACAACCTCTGTAGCCATAGAATTTTCTTCTCAGGGAACTTTGGAATCTGAGGTCAACATGTCTTTCTTCCCACGGACAGCCTTGGCTATGGCAGAGCTAGATAAGCAGTGCTCAGGCCAGGCTCTCTGGAGACGGGGTAAATGAGAACCAGGTTGGCTCCTGTGTTGTTATCTGGTCACACAGGTGTCTCAAGGCCTTTCTTTCCCTCACCTGAAGTTTGGTATCACAAAGCTGCCAGAACCAGGGTGATGCATAAGGGAAGCCTTTCCTCCTCTGCAAACAGAGCTATTTGGTTAGAAACATCATGACAGACCAGAACAGACATTGGTTCCTATAGGGCATTACTATATTCTCAACATAAAGTGACCACGAGTAAACACTGTGGAGATGCAAACCTTCAGCCCTTAGCTGCTTTGGGGAAGGTTTGTGCTTTCAGTTTGGGCTTTTGTTGAATTGAGCCAATGACTATTAAGAGAATTCCAAGTTGTTTACTGTTGGGTGGTGTAGGCAGCTGTTACTGCAGCCAGTGTACAAAACACATTGCTTTCTGGGTTCATAATCTCTTGCTTTGTTCATTTATTCAACAGTGGCTTAAGGGCCTGCCATGCAGCAAGCCCTCAGCTACATGTTCAGCTGTGTCAAAGTGTTCCAGAAAATTCCATCCTTCTGTCTTTGTGGCCTGGGACCTGGTTCGTGATATGTCTTAAGTGAGGAACATGCTAAGGGGGGGTCCTGTTAAAGCGTCAGCCTGAGGAAGGCTGGAGAAGTTGTCCTGAGAAAGAAGGGCACAGACCAAGAGGAGGGATGCCCAGGGTTATGCCAACACCCGAAACACAGTATTTTGTCCCTGCATCTTGTTTTCATGTGTCCTTTGCCAAACTTTCTAGGTACACACACACACACACACACACACACACACTTAAAATTTTATTTTAGAGCCTGCAGGGATGTCTCAGATCTTAAGAGTATTGGCTGTTCTTTTAGGGGACCCAGATTTAGTTCCAATACCTATATGGTGGCTATCAGCAATCTCTAAGTTTCAGACGATCTGATGCCCTTTTTTGGCCTTCACAGACACTGCATGCATGTAGTGCACAGACGCACATGTGGGCAAAACACCCATACACATAAAAATAAAAATAAACAAAGCTTAAAAGAAATTTAATCTGGTTTTAACCAACCTGTCACAAACTGAAAACACCCCAGATGTTTTCTATCAGACTTCTTCTTAGCATAAGTTCCCAGAACAATTTTCCCAAACCTTTCTACTTTTTCTGCTTGACTTAGTCACTCTTCTATTGCTATGAAGAGACACCATGACCATGGCAACTTTTGTAAGAGAAAGCATTTAATTGGTGTGGCTTACAGTTTCAGAGGTACAGTCCATTTTTAACATAGCAGGGAGAAAAGGAGCTAGAGAAGTAACTAAGAGATACATCCTGATCCACTAGCAGAGAAGGGGGCGTAGAGAGAGGGGAAGAGAGGGAGAGAATGGACCTGGCAAGAGCTTTTGAAACATGAAAGCCCACCTCCAGTGACAGACTTCTTCAAACTAGCCAAACCTTATAATCCTTTGCAAATAGTGCTACTTCCTGGTGGTTAAGCATTCAAATATCTGAGCCTATGGGGGTCAACTACCACTCTTATTTATAATTTCCCTAATGATTGGCTCACGGACCATGCCTGTATGCTCTCGGCAACCCACACAATTCCTTTCATTTTGTGTTTGTTCCTTGTGCGTGTTATTATTGAAAAATAGTTGAGTTCTTTGAACTATCAAAGATCATCACTTGCTTTTCTAGAGAGAATGTGCCCTCTTAAGATGGGTTCTCCTTTTCTGTGTTTGAGAGGAGGAAAAGTAACAGAAAAGCCATGTGTGATGCTGGCTACTCAAATGTGTGGAAACTGGCCGACGCTCAGTCCTGTACATTAAACTGTAAAGAAAGATGAGAGCCTTCCCTACAGTGAGAAGACAATGCTTTATGTTCTCTATCGTAGGTAGAACCTAAATTCCAAAGGTTAGATATGTGTGCCCAGGGGGCAGTAATGCAGATGGAAGCCAACAAACCTAGAATGGGGCCTTGGTAATGGTTTTTTTTTTAAAAAAAAAAAAAAAAAAAGATGTTCTGAGGGTGAGGAAGGCAGAATAACACGTGAAATGCGAAAGCAGAGTTGGAGATGGGAGTGAAGGAGGGGTGGGAGGGGTGGGAAAGTAGCAGCCACCCAAACAAAGCACATGTGTAAATAAAGTAGTAAGCTAGTTTTTAAATATAACTAATTCTTTTTTTTAAAGACAGTGGTTCTGGGTGGTACACAAGCATGCCGGTCAAGAACATTCCATATCTAGCACTTTCTCATCTTCCCACGAATACCTTGGAACTCAACCTACTCTACCAACTTGGGCTTATCTGCGATTAAAATTAGAAATATGTCCTTGGAGCCTCTCCCTTCTTGTGCCACTTTTCCATGACACTGCTTGGAAAGATAAGGCTCTCCTATAAAAATACATCTTAGGGTTCCTCCTCGTTGTCCGTAGAATTTGACGGATCCATCACGGTGAGTCAGGAATATGATTTTGAGACTAATTTTTCAGATTGCTCCCACTCGCCCCAAAGTCTGAGTGAACGTGATTACGTTAATCTTTGGAAACCTTTGTTCTTCAGACTCAGCCGTGTTCTTACTTCCATGCAGATGCTGCAGCTGTGGACACTCGCAGTGCTGCTGGGAGCAGTAGCTGGTAAGAAAAGATGCCTGTGGAGATGGGAGAGGCTAGCTGTGGGGTTCTTCCTGCCTGTGACAGCCAGGTTCAAGCCTTCACGAGGATGAGGAGTCAAGTGAGCTTGACGGAGTAAGAACACAAGCACTTAGGTTTTGTTGCCAGATAAAGCCCCCTCGGCCTATTCAAGTGGATCATAACCACACAAATAAATGAGATGAGCATAAATGTATGTAATATATTCATTTTAATTTTTTTCTCAAAAATATTTGGATAAACACCTGAATTTTAACATTAACATTTATGTTCAAAGACCAACACTCCTAACTTGTATTCAAGGAAGGGGTCCAAACACTCTTTTCATCAGCTGATTCTACAACCCTAAGAATAATCTGTAATCCGTACTCCTCTGAGCTTCAGTATCTTGATCTGTGAAATGTAGATAATGAAACCTCTCTCACGATGACAATGATGCTTAAGATAAAAGAATCATCTTATCCGGCATCAGGTGCTGAGTAAGATTTAGAGACATGCATCCCCTCCCCCGCCACACACACACAGCTGCAGTTACTCCTACTCTATCATCAATCTAATCTTAATGCAGCTCCAGACCCCCTTCTTAGGCTAGCAAGCCAGGCTACAGCTGTGTGAAATCCTAGACGTTTTGTTTGTGTTTTCTTCATCACAGGATCCAGGTTAGTCCTCAGACATATTCAGCCAAGATGAAGACACAAAGTTTGGCTCTTGCATGGAACTAAATGTCTCCCCTTAAGTACAAGGCCAAATGGTGGCTATGGGTAGTTGAGAAACAACACACAGACAGTGCCCCCATCAGGAACTGAGATACAAGGCACCTCTGTCCCTGGGCATGAGTGGTCAAACAATTGAGTTGAGAAGTTGTGATGAGTCCCCACTTGGGACTAGGCAGAGACAGGATGGGACACATGGCCCCTGAGGTAGAAATGAGGACCTGCAGGCTGTCTGCCGCAGAGGCGTTTGTCCCCTTAGGCTGTTTCGTGAGTGTGAGCAGGGTGGGTGTTTGGGGAAGCAGAGGGAGAAAATCTGCCACAAGATGAAATTTAGCACATATTGTGCCTGAGAGTCTATTAAAAGAACATTCTGGCTAAACTAACTTCTTGACACACTGGGTGACTTTTAGGACGAGAAGTCTGCTACGATAGACTCGGCTGCTTCAGTGATGATTCTCCATATGGAGGGACTTTGGAAAGACCTCTCAAGGTGTTGCCCTGGTCTCCAAAGCTTGTCAACACCCGCTTCCTCCTGTACACGAACGAGAATCCCAACAATTACCAAGTAAGAGAACTCCTGGATCTTTAGCACTTAACTCCAGTTTTATGTAATAAGAACAGATTTTATTTGGACATGTTTTACCTTTCCATAAGAGAAGACTACAGTGAATTGTTTAGAAGAAGGGAACTCTGGGATCAGAGTTGTAGACCCTCGAGGCCCCTGGCTGAGGGCTCTCACAGTGATCACAGTATAGTGAGCACCATCACAGGCTGGGAAAGTGGCTAGCTCTCTCTTAAGTATTAACCCATAACTACTAATCTATGTGTTTCTACATGGCCTTATCGTACTAGAGAACACCTGGCACATCCTTTCTTCCTGGCCTCTACATGGCATCTCTTCAAGTTCTCTCCCTGCCTACCTTTTCCAGAATTCTCCTCATCTCCGAGTCCTGCCTATCTTCTGCCTCTATAGGCCAAACAGTGTTTTATTCATCAACCAATAAGAGAAGCATATGACATCCCCTATCAGAAGGGGACTCTAGGATCAAAGGTGCAGACCCTTTGAAGCCCCGGCCGAGGGCTCTCACTTTGCATCACAATATAGTGAGCAGCATCACAGGCTGGGAAAGTGTATAAGAGGTGAAGACGGGCAGACAGAGAACCATCTTCTGAGGAGCCTACTCCTGTTGTCACAACCCCACTCTTCTAGAGTTAGCAATAATCTACTCATGAAGGCAGAGTCCTCATGACCTAATCACCCATTAACAGCCCTCATTCTTAACATCGTGTCAGTGATAATTGAATTTGCAACTTTTTTAGGGGCAACATTAACATGTCAATTATTCCATCCTAACTTCCCCAAATCTACATCCTTCTTCCACACACAACATATCCCTTTGTCCCCATGCCCATCTTAACACATCCCTGCATTCTCTCCAGTCCCAAAGTTCAAAGCCTTATCAAAACCACATGTAGCTAAGAACTAGAAATATCCCAGAAGAGTATCCACATCCAAGTAAATACAAATCAAGCAGGGATAATAACATTAAACTCAAAAACAACTGTTTGCTTTACAAACAACCTCCAGAACATTATGGGTAAGGGTTGGGCCTCCAAACCATACTCACTGCTTCAAGGGCTCAGTCCACACAGCTGCTCTCAGAGGCTTAAGCCTCACACCTACAGATCATCTGGGCTGCTGTTAACATGCTGCCAGTTCTGAGGTCTTGGGGACTCCACCACAAATTGCCCTTGTGGGGGTTCTACCTTATATCATAGACTGTCTTTGTCTCCAGGCTACCCACAAATGTTTCTCACGTCTAGATCAAAGTTAACGCCTCCCAGTCCTTTCGTTATGCAAGCCTGAGGAGAAGATTACATGTACATAACCAAGATTTACTGAGTGTGTCCTCTAGAGGGGTGGCCTGAGTTACATGAGCCACAAGTGAACTCCCATTGTGACCTCTGAGACTTAACACAGCTTATATTAGCAAGACCATAGATAGTGGTCCAGGTTTACCTCTTGCAGAGCTGTTGTCCTTTGAAGGGAAATACAGCCTCCAAGATCTTGGGAATGTCTTGGGACTCCTTCTCCTGTCATCCTAATGAAGGCCACCTGGCTTCCCCGAGTTGTAATCACCCTTTAAAAAGCTGTCCCTGGGAACATGCTGTTCTGCTCCCCTAAAGCCACCAGTTCACTCTTTTAAATGCCCAGGCTGCATATTTTCTCAGTCTCTACATTTTGCTTCTCTTCTTGTTATAACTTACACCTTGAAATTCTTTTCTTCCATACACTCAAGCAGTGAAAACTGTTCATGTAGAAGCCTGAATAATATCCTTCCTTGATATTTTATCTGCCTAATAGTCTATTGCTTTTAAGTTCTGTGTTTTATAAAAAGTCCTAAAACATGAACACAATTCAGCCAAGTTCTTTGTAACTATAAAATGAAGATGGCCTTTTCCCCCATTTACCCTGCACTATTTTCCTTTTCTGTTTGACACCTCAGGAAAATGACCTTTCTGCCTGCATTTCTATCAGCACACTGATCATAGCCACTTTAGCAATCTCCAAAAATGTCGTATCTCCGCCATAGTCATTACCTTCTCTCAGAGTGTTCACTAATACTAGCCCAATGTTCCACTCGTGGACAGTGTTCCCTAATACTATTCAGTGTTCCATTGATGGTAAAATGTGGCTATTTTGAGTTTCCTTGTCTGTACTAAAGCAACACTCACATTTTTAGATGTTTACTATGACAACCCCACTCCAGGGACCAATTTTCTGTCTTAGTCATTTTTGGAGAGGGAAGGAGAGTGGTATAATAGTATCATTAATCTGGTAAACTATAAAATATATACATTCATTTGGCTCAAAGCCTGGAGTCTAGGAAGTCCAAAATTCATGGTGTGAGCTGGTGAAAATCTTCCTGTTGCATCAAAAAAACAGAAAATGAGAAGGAGTGATGGAGGAGAGGGCAGGGGAGGGGAGGGAGGGAGAAATAGGAAAAGACAGACAGGGGTGGGGCTGAAGTACACTTTTATCGGGAACTCATTCCCACAGTAACTAAACAACCCTACAATGATCACCTGGATTCACTCGTCAGAGCTATGCGGTTGCCTCCTAACGGCCCCATCTCATCTAACCATCACAATGGCAAGAGGACATCGCACGTTTAGAATGGGATATTTACATGGTAGCAGAAAATACAATCCAAGCCTTCTGAGGACGGTTAGTCAGATGGTGAAAGTCTATCTAGTCCACTTACAAGTTATAAACATAAATTTTCTAACACCTCTATCACCTGCCCATATGGTTTCATATTTCCATTATATAAAACACATATACAGCGCATACATGCTGAACATGCACATTGGTATTATATATGTATGTGTGTGAGTATATCCCCCCACACACACACACACTTTCATTATGTTCAGAAAAGAGCCTCACCACCAAAACTGTAGTGGCTATATAATATCAAAGCTGCACAGTTTTAGTGTTGACTTTTAGGTCACTCAGCAGTTCAGCTATACCATGAGAATTCTTATTTCCAAGGATCTCAAATCCCAAATAGTCCCTGCCTACCCACCGCCTACTAGAAGAACTTGACCTTGAAATATTTTGGCAAACAGGTGATCACTGCAGACGCATCAAGCATCAGGGGCTCTAACTTCAAAACAAACAGGAAAACCCACTTCGTCATTCATGGATTCACAGACAAGGGGGAAGACAACTGGCTGTCCAGTATCTGCAAGGTGAGGGCGGGTACTCTCCCAAAGGAGGGCAGTCACACAAGAAACTGGACCTGTACTGAAGAGGGGTGTTGGTCGCCACAACACAGGGATGCCTCTGAGGCCTGGTGAGCCTGGACGTCAGGGGAGAGGAAGGATGTGACGATGGCTGCAAGGGCCATGGGACCAGTCAGGACAGCGAAGTTGGTGGGTGGCCCAGGCAGGGACCATTTGACAATGCATACAGGACATTTCTGGCTTTAACAAAAGAAGCTGGCACACATCTGTTTCCCAGTTGACCACAGGGACCTTGAATTTCTGTATGAAGAGCTAGGGGACTCCATTCACAAAAACTTTTTCTTTTGATCTTCACTAGATTTCCTGAGGTCCTCTGCTAGCCATGTCTAGGAATACTGTGAGGGTTTTCATGTCTGGCTTTGGTGTTTTGTGAAAATGATTCTGTTTTCCTTCGTATCTGTCTTTGACTTCATTCTCAGTAATAATGGACACTGAAAAGAGACAGTCAAGCAGAATAAGTTTCCTTAGTAATGAAGGCGCCATTACTGTTGATTCAGTTGCTCATGGGTTCCGGTCAGATGGTACTTTCCTGTGAAATAATCCAGGATGGACAACATGCTGACCCAAGCCAGATTAGATTTACAGCACCTGTACTGTGTCTTCATATATAAGAGATCCTTTTGGTTCTTACTGGGCACCACTGTGTGCCAAGAAGTATTGTAGACACTGGGGACACAGCAGTGAGAGAAATGGGCAGAGTCCTTGAGAGCTTTCTGGTAAGGCATAGAGCAGCTCTAAAACATGAATGCTCTAATGAAATAAGTCTATGCATCTGCTACAGTTGAAATGTCAAGAATGCAGTTTCGGGGGGGGGGGCGTGCCTCAGTCTGGAGTCAGTGATAATCTTGAGGAAGAATTCTATATCCATTACTAAGTTTCAGGTCATAAATTTTGGATTAAAAATAGTATGAGCACAATATTGTTCAGGTCAAGGAGAGAATTTGCCTGGTCTTTAAATGTGTTAGTAACAAATCAAAGTCCTGGATTGTTTACGTCCTTGTGCCGTTTCCTATCAGAACATGTTCCAGGTGGAAAACGCAAACTGTATCTGTGTGGACTGGAAAGGCGGCTCTAGAACTGGATACACTCAGGCTACACAGAACGTGCAAATCGTAGGTGCAGAGATCGCATATTTGGTGAAGGCCCTTCAGGTGAGTGCTTCCTGATCACATAAAAACCCACACCACTTTCTCAACTCTCTTACCAAAAGAAAACTGTGGATATGAGCATTTTACATTGCAACACATCTTAGCCGATACATAAAAATTGAACATATGTAATGAGTATCACACAGTGTTTTCCAGCCTTGAGTGCAAGCGCTGGCTGTAATCCCAAATTACCCATGGGAGAAAGAGACCACAACTTCCTCGCCCACCACTTTCTGAAGGGGGAGCTGTTCCTAGGTTGTTTCCCATTTGCAAATGCAAATATTGTCTCTCACTTGATAGATCTCTTCACAATGGTGTTAAGGAGAGACTTTTAAAAGTAATATAACCCATTTGTCATTTTTGTTTTCTGTGATTTGGGGGCCTTGCCAATCTCATTTCACAACCTTGAACTCAGACCACTACCCTGGAACGAGTATGACAACTGACAAAGACATTCCTATACTGAAATGGCTTTCCATCTAGTTGAAAATAGTGACTCGAAGCAATCTAGATTTGGGTTCACCTGTAAACCTCCTTCTCAGAAAGTTGTGGGGTTTTTTTGTTGTTGTTGTTTGTAGGAGAATTTTCAGAAACAGTGTTTAGGTCATTTCTAGTGAGTTTTATTGTTTACTAGACATGATAATATTGATAACAAGATTAAGCTAGCAATATTTTTTAGAGAAGCACAAAGATTTGAAGCTAACCTGACTGGGTAACCTAAAATGGAAAATGTTAAACTTGGATTTGATTTGATGGTTGCTTTCATTGTACATTTCTAGTTCGATTCTCGTTTCATCATCTCTGGGTATCAGCTATCACTCACTGCTTCTCCTTTTACCATGATAGAGCAAAAGACAGACCAACTTTTCCCAGTGTAATAGTCTAAATCCATTTCAATTTTATTGCAATTGTCTGAAAACTGAAAATAAAATTCTTTGAAAGGGCAGAATGTCTAAAATTTCAGTTTAGGAAGGCTCTTTGTATGGATCTGTCTTGAATTCTGCAATAGTTGAAAATATGCTGAGAGACTGTTCTGTAGGGCAGCTTTTCTAGACTAAATCTACCCACCCCAGTTCTCATTTGGTTTCTTAGGCTGTGTCTAGGAACCAAATTAAAATAAGAAAGATTGATGGGCAAAGAATCTGTAATTTTTATCAGTTTTTGCATGTACTTGGAGTCACAAGAGAAAAGATTGAAATAGATGGTAAGATAGAAAACTTTCACAATTTTAAAACAAGGCATGAAAATTTTTGTGAAAAAGTATCAAGACAGAAGGCTCTCAGGCAGGGTAGGTAAATTCCAGAAAGATCAGTAAGAGCTACATGGAGTGTGGTAAAAACTGATGTAGGAAAAACAGGGCAGCATGGACCATCCCCATGACCAAGGGCCTCAGAGGTTTATGGGAAAGAAGAAAGAGGCTCTGTGGCAACACAGATCAGTTCTTAGTCCTCAATCTGAAGCTGCATTTTCAGGATGTTTTGCTACTAAGGCCAACTTGGCAGCTCTTTGAGGAGTTGACTTCGAGGCTATGAAATGAGACTGGCAAAAAGATGTGTGGAGGGCGTAGATTGGAACAAGGAGAAAAGAGGGGATTCTAGTGCATCCTCCCTGTGTAACTGATCTCTTGGCCCTCAGGCCAGTCAGATCAATTTAGCAATACAGCCAAGCTTCTCCTGGGAGGTAGGGCTACAGGCAGACTGGCATTATCACTGGGTCTCTGTGTGGTGCTAAGATTGCAAATAGATGGCATTTCCATGAAAACAAAATAAAAATAAAAGCTAATAATAAGAGAAGCACTTAGTTTCCGAGTTTGAAGGGTAGCCAGATGATATTTTATTTTTTAGGTACTGGTTTCCAAATATCTCCAGTTGAAGCAAGGGTGGGTAGTAGAAACTCCAATAGATTCCATTTCTAGCTTAAATCCCACCCAGCTTCCATTTCCACGGCGTCAGGGAAAATACCCTTGTTTGACTTCCATGATCTCAATCCAGAAAGCAGGAGAAAATTGGAAATGTTAGCTTGTAGCTTGCAATCAGATATTAGAAGAAAGTTAGATAATAAGGGATTTTAATATAGTTTATCTCTAAATAATAAAATCTAAAAACAAACCGAAACATCACCCAACACTGAGCTAGAGTGTAGTATTTATTTGTTATAGGCTTGTCATCTAGGAGATATTTTTTCTCCACAGCCTTCCCCTGTTTATCGAAGAATCAGAGCGAGACTCATTTGTTGTCAAAACAAAATTAGTCTCATTATGCTTGGCTTGATTATTTGACAAATACATGAAGAATAATGACTGACTCTTTTTAAACTCTATTTATTGGAAACTTTTATGTGTAGGCGTGGCAATGGTTGTTTTGTTTGGTGTTTGCCTGTGTACCGCTTGCATGTGTGATCTCATCAGAGGCCAGAAGTGGGTGTTGGATCCCATGGGACAGGAGGTATAGATGGTCATGGGCTGCCATGTTCGTTCTGTGCATCTGTAAAGGCAGCCAGTGTTATTAACCACTGAGCCAGTTCTTCAGGCCCTTGTAGGAACTTTTGATAAGAAATCTTCTTATATTAGACATGGAAAGCCTTTTATGACCAGGAAATCCAGTGAAGCCCTCAGTGCTAAAGTGTGCCTAATGAAGTCCTCTCTCCTCAAGGTCACCACCGTAACTTTACGATCTTGGGATGTCCAGGACATGACCTTTGACTCCCTATGAGGCTAGGAACACCATAATGGGAATATTTGTTCAAGATTCCTGGGCAACTTTTTCAGGGAGGAGTGGGCATTCTTGTAGATCCATAAAAGCCAACCTCAGTCCCTTCAAGTTGTCTGTCCATGTCAGGAAATATGCATTCTGGTTAAGGCCTTTGTCACATAACTGCTGTTACAAAGTGTACCCTGTTACAAGGATAACAGATTCTTAATGAACTTACACAAATAACTATGTTACCATAGAAACAAGAATTTGCACAAAATAGTTTCTGAACCATGGAGGGAACAGTTAGCAGAAAAAAAAAAACTTAATGTTTCAATTGTTGTTCACAGAGTATGTTTTATCAAAATTGCTAAAGGATATAGATAGCATTAAAAAATTTCAATTAGAAAATGAAAGTATAAAAAGCATCAGTAATGCTTCCAAAAGCAAGTCATTGCAAAGTCATATTTTATCATTCTCAGCCCATTTAAGTCATTCGGTTTCCTGCTCAGTATGGAAGTAGAGGTTCCTAGAGCTATCCAGCTCCTCCAGACCCTCTTCAGAACTTTGGAAATTCTTACAAAATACAATATGATATTAAAGTTTCTCCATAAGCCTATTTTTAAAGGCACCTGTCAGTGTTTTTCTGTGAATTTCCAAAGCCTTCAGAGAAGAATTGGCACCACATGGCAAATGTCTATAGTGAAGTGTGCTCAGCTTTGACAGTATGACTGCCAAAGAGACATGTCTTTCCAGGTGTGGGTGCATGCAGAGGCAGGAGGGGGGAGAGACAGAGAGAGAGACACAGAGGGGAGAGAGACAAAGAGAGACAAAGAGGGGAAGAGAGAAAGGCAGGGGGAGACACACACAAAGGAGACAGACACACAGAAGGGAGAGAGGGGCAGGAGAGAGACACACACAGAGGAGAGAGACACACAAAGGAGACAGATACACAGAGGAGAGCAAGACACATAGGGGAGAGAGGGACACATAGAGAGGAGAGAGACACAGAGGAGAAAGAGAGAGACACACAGATGGGAGAGAGAGACACAGAGAGAGGCAGGAGAAAGACAGAGAGCAGGAAAGATGCACAGAGGTAGGAGAGAGACATACAGAGAGAGGCAGGAGAGAGACAGAGAGAGAAGCAGGAGACTTACAGAGGTAGCAGAGAGACACAGAGGAGAGAGGGACACACAGAGGAGAGAGGGACACACAGAGGAGAGAGGGACACACAGAGGAGAGAGGGACACAGAGGAGAGAGGGACACACAGATGGGAGAGAGGCAGGAGAAACACAGAGTGGCAGATATCTTGGATGACATTTGATTGCTTCCCTCCTCCAGTCTGGCTTTGGATATTCTCCCTCCAACGTTCACCTCATCGGCCACAGTCTGGGCTCCCATGTTGCTGGCGAGGCTGGAAAGAGGTTGAATGGGGCCATTGGACGAATCACAGGTTGGTCACCACAACAAAATCTACAAGACTAGACCATATGTGGCCTCTGTGAGGTCCAAAAGGAAGGCCAGGAGGGAGCCTGTCACACTTGGGTGGCATGATGGGACGTCAGGGCCGCCCACCTGGTGACTTTGTAATTGACATTGAGTCTCCGGTTACAGTATCCTCTTTAAAATCTATAATTACTGCATCTAAAGTGAGGCTCAAGCATGAGAGGCCTTGTTCCTTTATGTTCTCCATGCCCAGATCTTCACAAAACATGAGGATCACAGACAGAATAAATGTCACAAGCGATGGAGTCTAACCCATCACCAAAATACACATAGTTACCTGAATTCTGTCAGCTGCAAAGTCAGAGCCTCGGGGAAGGGAACCCCCCATCTCTTCTGGGTGCTGCCAGCTGTCAGCATTTGCACATGCTGACCATGAGGCAGACATTGTCCTGGACCTGAGGCATGGCCACTGCAGTGTCTTCTCTCTCTCACCCCATAAGACAAGGTTTCATTATGTGTCCTTGGCTGGTCTGCAAATTTGTAAATAGACCAGGCTGGTGGTGAACACAGAGAGATCTGCCTGCTTCTGTTGCTAGAGTGCCAGGATTAAAAGCATATGCTACCATATTTTTGGAGGCAGGAGATCACCAATTGGCTAGACTGGATAGCTGGTGAGCTCTGGGGTTACAGAGTGAGGTGCTGACCCTGGCTTTTATGTGAGTAATGGGGAGCCTAACTCATGCTCCTATGGCAAGGATTTTATCCAATGAACCATCTCCTTAGCCCCTCTCATCTTTATACATTGGAAAAAGTTACATTAGATTGATGGGGGTTATCTCAAATTTCTATGGATTAACTTGATGAAAAAAAGTTCTTCCAGAATGTTCTTTCCTATTGCTCTGTGAGGAGTTATGCCATTCTGAGATCTCACTCTTCTGGGAGTTGACATCTGTTGGGATCACTGAGCCCAAGAAGCTTTATATAGTCCATTGCCTCTCATGCTCAGCCTCTTCTCTGCTGCCAGTGGCCAGATTCTCTTAGGGACTAAACATCCTCAAGTAGAGACAAATTCACTACCTAACAAATAGGAAACAACCTAGGAGCAGTTTTCTCTTCAGAAAGTGGTGGGCAAGGAAGTTGTGGTCTCTCTCTCCAATAGGCAATTTGGGATTACAACCAGTGCTTGCACTCAAGTCTGGAACTAATGAAGAAAGCGGGGTACACCTGAATACCGACTTAATTTACAACACAGCTCCTTTGCTTTAGGGTTGGATCCAGCTGAACCTTACTTTCAGAATACACCCGAAGTTGTCCGATTGGACCCCAGTGACGCCCAGTTTGTGGATGCCATTCACACCGATTCTGCCCCCATGATTCCCAACATGGGTGAGTCCTAAAACATGCCGGCCCAGATGTTGGGCATGCACTTTACATGAGTAAGACTGTCTTAAGGCATCAATAAGTAACATAAGCTTTTCCTTGCCTTTAAACTTCTTCAGGGTTAGGAATGAGCCAAACCGTGGGTCACTTAGATTTCTTCCCAAACGGAGGGAAAGAAATGCCTGGATGCCAGAAGAACCCTCTCTCTCAGATTGTAGACATGGATGGTATCTGGGAAGGTAAGACTGTTACGGAGACCAAGATTTTCACCAGGGAACAGACAGCTGTGCTCCATGGTGTCAAACTTGCTGATGCCATATAGCCTCTAATTAATTGTACACAAGAGGGATTTCTAACTGCATCCCTTAGACATAGGCTTCCACAGGGACAGGTGGGCATTAGGGACTTTGAGAAACTAACTCAGGGAGCTGCAGTGGCTCAATGGTTACAGACATGTGTTGCTCTTGCAGAGGACACTGACATTCACAGCCACCTGTAACTCCAGGTCCAGGGGAAGGGTATCTGTAACCTCTGACCTCACACATCTCTCTCACACACACACACAGTATAAGAAGTAAAACATTTAAAAATGTAAACATTTTAAAGGACCTAATTCAGGCAACACATCACTAAAGCGCATTTCTGTCTATCCAAAGCAACCTTCCTCTTGTCCACTTACTTTTCCATTTCACCTGACATCACTCAATGATTTTAATCCTAAGCAGTCGTGAGCTTCAGATCACATCTCATATCATGAATACACGTCATAAATGGTTTTATGCTGTGACCGCCAGGAGTTCACACCCATTAGAGAAGTCTAAACCATAGTCTTTATCCTCATCACAGTGATAATTTTGGAAAGATAAAATCTGTCGTTGATATCATGCCTGGCTTAACAGGGACTCGTGACTTTGTGGCCTGCAATCATCTAAGAAGTTACAAGTATTATACAGACAGCATCGTCAACCCAACTGGCTTCGCTGGGTTCTCTTGTGCCTCATACAGTGACTTCACTTCAGTAAGTAGCTGCACTTCAAGGAAAGACCAGTGTGGTTCACTGGACATGACATCATTCAGCGGATGTCTGTGCTTTCATACTGTACCCCCTGTAATGGTAGGGAAACACCTTAAGATGAAGTCTTTGAGGACTTCAGGGAGTTCAGCTTGAAGATGCAATGTCCTGTGTACTTGGCAGATATGAACATTTGTTTTAGAAGTAATCCTAAAAGAAGGAAAGGGCCTGCAGACATCTGAGCTGTGTTGATAGGATATAATGAACATGGGAAATTACCTTTGACTCCTGACCTTGTGAAGTTATGGTCGTGGGAAGATTTGGGGAATTCTCACAGTAGCTGCTATGTCTTTGAGTCTTTGTTTTGCTTATTATCTTTCACCGAGGTTAGATTCTCTAGGATGTGGCATGCCTGGTTTGCCTGGATGTTGCTTGTAAGATTGACTTTTCTTCCCACAATAATTTTTTTTCAAATAAATATTTTTAACCTGAGTAACTGAATAAAGAAAATTTCAAGTAAGTACATCAAGGCAGTCAAAATTACCAAGAGGTATGTCTTAGTGGTTGAAGAAGAGACTGAAATTCGGCTCTCACTTAAATAAATGAACAGCTCTAGAAAAAATTAGTTACTCCTTTTAAAACATTCTTGCATCTGTATATGCAAATAATAATGGCAATCTACACGTATTTGAGAGGAAATGCTAATAAGATGATTTATTTTAATTACCCTAAAGCAAAAGTGGTGATAATTATCCAGTAAATGTTGGTTATTATGAGAAAATGTAACTTATTCTAATTAATAAGTAAAATAAGAATATTCAGCAACTGAAAACACTCTTCCGATACCCAAGGATGGAGAAGAGGGAACACAAATAATGAAAGCTTCAGATCTCACTGGTTAGTGCAGGGACAGATTCAGTAGCATAAAGGACCTTTCAGAGGCCACTTGGCACTTTAAAAGGTGTCTTCGTTTCACAATGCCTCTGCCTTGGACCTACTTCTTCAGCATCTAAGAGATTGGTATGGGGTCACCTCACCCTGGTAGTGACTTGTCAGAGTGTGTTCTATATAGACAGTGACTTGGGGTATACAGTAGTCCCTTGTTACATGGTCTCTTGGCCACTTTGGGCTCTGAGCCATCTCCCTGTCTGTCTAGTTGATGTTACACTCTTGGCAGTTTGAGATGAAGTCTAACACCTGCCTACTCTTCTGGTTTTGTAAATTCCCTCAGGGACCATCCATAGGAGAAAGAGAAGGATGGAGGGAGAGAATGAGGGTGGGTTGTTTGCGGCATATATTTGCTGCATATTCAAATAATGATTTGAAGAACATCTACTCCAGTAGACCTCAGAGTGAGTCCACTGGAGCATAGTCTCAGGGTCCTCATGGAACTTTGTTAAGTCACAAGGTTATTCATGACTAGAAGATAAATGGGCTTCTATGTCTCACTGGTCTCACACTTAGAACAAACCCTGGGTCTAACCTGGATGCGCTTCTCAGTAAATAACTTTCTTTCTGCATGTCAGCAAGTTCAAAGCATGGCTCACAGACCACAAGATGAAGACAGGGCCACAAATTGGGGCACTATTTCACCTTTCTTCCAAGTGTGTTTCACACTTCATGGTGGAACAGTCTCCCCTTAGCTTCTGACATGGAGCCTCTCTCAGCCCCATCATCTTGTCTTGACTCAGTTCTTCATGTGCCCGTCCTGTGAGATGCCTTCTGTGGAGGTGTGGAGGGGAGGGCATGTTTGTGTCTCCACAGACTGGACCTCCATCTCCATCTTTTACCACAAAACTCTTGTCCCAGCAGGGGAGGACATTTTCTTCTGTCTTCTTCAGTCACCAGACACCTGGTTAAGCTTTAATGGTTAACTCTGTGATTTTCCTTTGCATGTCGGGGAGAATCCTAAAATGTGATTTTGCAGTCACATACTAAATGAAAGCCATGGGAACTGAGAAAGTTGAGCTTCTCACCCTCTGAGTGGAGCCCAGTTTTCCTATCAGTCCCTGGTTGTTACCTCCTCCTCTTGCTTATGCGACTTTTCCAAAATAAATTCTAGTCTTTGAGGGTACAGCTCCTGCTTATTGTGCTCCAAATCTTGAGTTTCACAACAAAGGCTTTGGGTTGCATCTTTTGTACAAATATGAATGAATGAATGAATGAATGAATGAATTCATTCTAACAATTCTTTAGACAGATGGATGTCTTAGGGCAAAGAAGCTAAGCTGGAGAAGAGGATAAATACAGGCAAGTCAGAAGGCTTCCATTGTAACGAGCTGGGCATGATGGTTCACTCCTAAGGAAAGAGCACCCTCATTCATTATCTGCTTTCCTTAGGACAAGTGCTTCCCCTGCCCGAGTGGAGGATGCCCACAGATGGGCCATTATGCTGACAGATATTCTCGGAAAACAAGCGGAGTGGGCCAGAAATTTTTTCTGAACACCGGTGATGCTAGTAATTTTGCTCGTAAGTTTCTATTTTATTTACCTTATATTCCACGTACAAAATATTTTCTCATGTTCACTGATGAGGTTGATTTCCATGTGGAAGCTTTAAGCATGGCTCTGCACTGTGGAAAATTTTCACAGAGTAGTGATATGGTCTGAGCAGCAGGGCAGAGCATACACCTGGGCTACTCATGAAATAAACTTCTTCACATGTTATCATGGAGCTGAATTCAGAAGGCTTCCTCTGCTCCATCCTCTTGTATTCAGTCATAAGTTTTGTTGAACAGAATTCTGAGATTTTTGTACTAGGAGAAAGAAATCTCTGAGATGGCTGAGATAGTTGGAATTGACAGAAAAGAGACATATGGGTCCTAAGACAGTAGACCCATGGAAGGTGGGCATGGGGGTGTGTGGAAGGGTGAGGTATGGGGGGAGCTGGTTTCTTCTCTGGATAGTGGAGAAATAAAATTAATTGGATGGGTGTGAATGGGGTGAACATCCCTATAAGAACTGAAGGAAAAAATGTATTCTCCCTCCAATTTGGCCTAGGCTAATGCTAAAGGCACAGACTAATAGTTCACGACTGACTAGTACCAAAGCAACCTTCTTTTGATGGTCTAACTTGGTTTATTTCCAAGGCTGGTTCAAAATAGAATTATGGAATTTAAAAATAAATAAAGATTGCTTACATAAGAACATGACAGCACTCTAAAACTTGGTGATCAACAAAAATAAAGCAAAATTACCCATTGTACTATTTTCTGATGCCTTCTTAAGGTAGAGTTCTTAGAACACTGAATTGCCACATTACTAAATTGAAAACCAAATATATTTCCTAGTCCTTCGACTTAAAAATAAAACTATCTATGAATTTTAGAAGTTCCTCCATAACTCTCACTCATCAGGGCTGACCCCTAAATAGGAGAGGCTGGAGACTATGCCATCAGTAGACTTGCTAACACCATGTATAAATTTTCCAAAACTCTAATGCAGTATGATCTAAATTAATCTGATTTCACTGTGTCTCCTCTCCAATTGTTACACTATGACAAATTTTGCTCTTGAAGGCTGGAGGTACCAGGTGGCTGTCACCCTGTCTGGACAGAGAGTCACTGGACATATACTAATCTCCCTGTTTGGGAGTGGAGGGAACTCTAAGCAGTATGAAATTTTCAAGTGAGTAGAATATTCTGATCTTCTTCACTGTTATAATATACCACCTAAGAGTTTGACTCTTCATAACCACATGGCAGTGTCTTCACATGTAGCATGGAGGGGACATTTTTCATACTTATATCTTAACACATTTCAGAATTCTACTCTTAGTTTTTTCTCTGCTCTATCTCGACAACCCCTTGTGTGTACTGCGATGGCTGACATCTGAGCTGTAAGCAGTAAATAATTCTTTCCCTTGCAAAAAGCTTGGGGAAGATGATGCAATGATATCATGAATTAATTATATCCTGAGAGACATTATGTAAAATCCTGTTTCCGGTTTTATTAAAGTTAGAGTTGCCCTTGAAGTAATTTATTGTCAAAAGCA